ATCACCGCCGCCCCCAGGGAAGCCACAACACCCGCTTCCTCCTTACCGATGACGTCGAGGATGGCAGGAGGAGACTTCCGAGTCCCCGCGGGGTTGGACGCCTCGCACACGTACTCGCCCTCGTCCGTCTGCAGCACCTCCTGGATCACCAGCGTGCCGTCTTCGCGGACCTGGACCCTGTGGGGGAAGGGGGGGGGGTTAGGCGTGTCAGTGGAAAATACACATTTACATATATAGGCACTTTTTCTTTTGTCTATCTATCTATCTATCTATCTATCTACGTTCTTTCTCTTTCCCATTCTTCCTTCGACTTCTTTTCATATATCCCCTGAAAAGCAATCAGGTAAAATAATATCGTTATTCGACTTTACCAAACTTTCTAGTAATTGGGAAAAGCGGGACTCGTCGGCATACAGGCAGCATGAACACAGCCGTACGCGCGTCGCTGGAGGCTTACGCTGACCTTTTAAAATATCCATCTTTCACAACACTGAGCTGTGCTTTCACAACAGCAGGTGATGCAGATGACAGCATCCATACATGCATGTGTACATACATGTGTATACAAATATGAAAGAGAGAGAGAGACTGAGAGAGAGAGAGAGAGAGAGAGAGAGAGAGAGAGAGAGAGAGAGAGACAGATAGACAGATAGACAGATAGACAGATAGACAGATAGACAGATAGACAGATAGACAGATAGACAGATAGACAGATAGACAGATAGACAGATAGACAGATAGACAGATAGACAGATAGACAGATAGACAGATAGACAGATAGACAGATAGACAGATAGACAGATAGACAGATAGACAGATAGACAGATAGACAGATAGACAGATAGACAGATAGACAGATAGACAGATAGACAGATAGACAGATAGACAGATAGACAGATAGACAGATAGACAGATAGACAGATAGACAGATAGACAGATAGACAGATAGACAGATAGACAGATAGACAGATAGACAGATAGACAGATAGACAGATAGACAGATAGACAGATAGACAGATAGACAGATAGACAGATAGACAGATAGACAGATAGACAGATAGACAGATAGACAGATAGACAGATAGACAGATAGACAGATAGACAGATAGACAGATAGACAGATAGACAGATAGACAGATAGACAGATAGACAGATAGACAGATAGACAGATAGACAGATAGACAGATAGACAGATAGACAGATAGACAGATAGACAGATAGACAGATAGACAGATAGACAGATAGACAGATAGACAGATAGACAGATAGACAGATAGACAGATAGACAGATAGACAGATAGACAGATAGACAGATAGACAGATAGACAGATAGACAGATAGACAGATAGACAGATAGACAGATAGACAGATAGACAGATAGACAGATAGACAGATAGACAGATAGACAGATAGACAGATAGACAGATAGACAGATAGACAGATAGACAGATAGACAGATAGACAGATAGACAGATAGACAGATAGACAGATAGACAGATAGACAGATAGACAGATAGACAGATAGACAGATAGACAGATAGACAGATAGACAGATAGACAGATAGACAGATAGACAGATAGACAGATAGACAGATAGACAGATAGACAGATAGACAGATAGACAGATAGACAGATAGACAGATAGACAGATAGACAGATAGACAGATAGACAGATAGACAGATAGACAGATAGACAGATAGACAGATAGACAGATAGACAGATAGACAGATAGACAGATAGACAGATAGACAGATAGACAGATAGACAGATAGACAGACAGAAGGATAGCTAGATAGACAGATAGACAGATAGACAGATAGAGAGATACAACCGTACAGACCGACTGAAATATCTCTGCCCCTCTTAGCCCTTTCCCGTTGCATTCTTCCGTCCCGAGTGTAATGTATGGGGGAAGCTGGACGTTATATTTCCGTATTGCAGCAACTAATCCGTCATACATTCCACGGCCAGCATGTGTAATGACAGCCCCTTCCCTCCTCCCCTCCCCGCCCCTCCCCTCAACATTTTTAATATATACTCGTGTAAAGGCTGTCGGTTATTAATCGTAACTTTTTTTTTTTTTTTTTTTTTTTTTTTTTTTTTTTACATGGTGGCTTTGGAATATTCCTGATTACTTTTACTGTTAGGGACCATATATGCATATATACGTGCATTAAGATCCACCCTCGGATATTTACCCTACATGTATATACATATGCCTACATACAAACACAGACAGATACATATATGTATGTATGTATGTATGTATGTATCTATATCTATATCTGTATATCTATATATCTATCTATCTCTATATATATATAAAGAGAGAGAGAGAAAAGAGAGAGAGAGAGAGAGAGAGAGAGAGAGAGAGAGAGAGAGAGAGAGAGAGAGAGAGAGAGAGAGAGAGAGAGAGAGAGAGAGAGAGAGAGAGAGAGAGAGAGAGAGAGAGAGAGAGAGAGAGAGAGAGAGAGAGAGAGAGAGAGAGAGAGAGAGAGA